TCAGGTACTTTGGTTTAGACACATTCCACCTTAAAAACATAGACAATTGCATACACAAATTCATTTATTCATGTTCACCGATTCCTAAAATGATTAGATTCGCGTTCACTATAACTAATCCTTTAGCAAACAAGTTAATTCAAACAGTGATCAATTGATTAAACTAACATGCTTCCTAGTGTTCAGTTCGTATCAAGCAAGACTTGTAAATTTAGTTAATTTAAACATTTAATTAACCTCTTGTTGATGGTCATCAAACAAGGCTCACACATTAACTTATTTATTCCCATGTTAATCCTAGTTTCACATTCGTTATTTCTAGTCTTATAATCTCAATGGTCATCAAAAATCATAAGAGACAAGCAAATCAAGCAGGTTTTCATACAACTTAATTCACTTAACAATTAACAGCAAATAATCATCATTAACACATGAGGATCTTTGAACAAGCTTGGCAAGATAAATTAAACACAAATAAATTATTTAACATAACAATTAGTCTAAGAATCAAAACTTCATTCAATCATAAACACAAAGTAAAAGGTTTTTACACCCAAATCAGAAACTAAATAAAAAAGTACCATAAGGAAGTGCTAAACATGGTCACGTTAGCAATCCATATGATTACCGACATGTATCCGCTCTCCAATCCTTCAGATCTCTGCTCCCGTTAGCTTAACGGCCTTCCGGCCGCCTTCTAGACCCTCAAAACGGCTTAACAGAAGTTAATTGTCGACTAAATTAGGTTAGAAGTCGAATCCCCCTCTGGTTAGCTAAAAATCGACATTTATAATCTTTGTGGCCGACCTAAGTACGCTGGGCGTACTTAGGATTACGCAGCGCGTACTCTGGATAATCACGTGATCAAGTATATCCGATGCAAGCAGGTACGCAGGGCATAACTTTAAGGTACGCGGGGCGTACTTGCTACCTCAGCACTCTTTTCTTTCTTTTAGCTTCTAAGCCTGGTTTCCGCTTCAGTCTCTTCTTTTGTGCTTTATCACAACAAATAGCTGCAAAACATAATTCAAAGTATTATGAGTACTCTTTAGTTCTAAAATAGAATAAATAAGGCCAAAATATTAAGATAAAGTGCATAAAAATATATATAAAAATACACATATCAAAATACCCCACACTTAGCGTTTGCTTGCCCCCAAGCAAATTTACTTTTATTTTACCAATATCGCACTAAACAATCAATTTGAAACTCAACCATTATGCCAAGACCTCAACGCATGCATTTATGTCTAAAATTTTCCTAAGTACCCCCCCATACTTTAAATACTCACAATCTTCATAAACACTTGCCCACTTTTTCCGAACAATGCTCATTTTATGCAACCCTCCGAATCCATCCGCAGAAAACCTCCTAACCTCAAGGTATTTTTAGTTGAGCAACCTAAGCATACATAATCTAGAATTACAATTTTCCGATACCACTATGGAGCTTTTTAGGAATTCTTCACTTTTCTTAACAATTTGATCTTTGATTTCTTTGAATTCACCACCTTATTTGAATTGATTTCTGGTATCTTCAACTTTTTGGATTTCTTCAGAATTTTGATCTTTTGATCTTCACTTTATTTGCTCCAAAATTCTTCAAACTTTTTCGTAATTCTCTTTTTTTTTTTTTTTTTACATGTACCTCTCTTTTTTCACTCAAAACCTACATGCTTAAGCAGAGGCGCTCAACCTCAACCTTTATTGGTTAATGATAATAATTTTCCTGGATACATTTCAGGTTTAGGCTGCTAAACATATTGCATCCTTCAAACCGAGCGGGGTTATGTTTTTGTTCCATGATTTCACTAAAATAAGGGAAGCCACAAATGCACTATAACGTATATTGGCTCAACTAAACATTTGAGTTCTCATCGGATCATCTCATACAATATTAGCAAAATTTTAAATTATCACTAGATTTTTCTAAATTAAACTATTATTTCAAGTTTTCTTTTAAAATTTTAAATTTCCCTAAATCTAGAAATTTCCAACTATTATTTCATTTTTATAATTTACTTTTACTGACCCCCTACCCCACACTTATTTCATACAATGCCCTCATTGTATGCTAAAAAAAATTAAGAACATAAAAAGGGAGAAAAAGGAACAGACTCCCCTGGGTAGTTGTGGCGAGATCGAATGGGGCTGCTACAGGTTGCTTCAAATATTGCTGAAAAACTGAAAACTGGAACTGCTGCTTCTGAATGTGCCGGAAAATAAAATCAAGACCGCCATCTTCGAAAATGTGGTGCAAAATATTGCAATTAGATGCAATGTATAATAACCATGACGTGGGAAAGTGTCGACCACGTCATCTCGTCGAGAATGACATCCTCTACTTGCGATGAAAAATCCCCCATAACATAGGAAAGTGTCAACCATGTCGTGGCAGCCGGGACAATACTTCTTCCTCGCGTCGAAATAAAACTCTATAGTATGGGAACTGCTCATCCATATCATAAGAGTCAAAACATCGTAACAATGCCATTCTTCAAAACGATCGTTCACGAAATAAATATGCACCCCACACTTATGACAAATCGTGGGTCTCGATTATAATCTTCAACTCTCATACCGCTCTCTCTAGCAACAGTCGGACCTAGCTGCTGAACTTACTGCCAGCTTCCTAAGGGCGAAAATTCTGCAGAAATCTAAACAACCAAAGAGCATCAACATGGAAAACAAACTAAATCAAACTAAATCAAAGTTTAATTACATACCAAATACTAAAAACTAAACTTAAACTAAAAATAACACAAAACAAACAAATAAACAAAATAAAAAGGATCACTCGTCATCTCCATCATCATGTGGTTGTGTCCCAGAAGTACCGGCCCCATCAAATCGTGACTGGAATGGTGGTGGAAAGGGAACCGAATACTGAAACCCCTGATGGGCAAAGAATGCATTCAATGCATTCCCTTGCCACCGTTGTTGCGCGTTGATATGGGCATATTTAGTTATAAAATTCATGCATGATCTTAATACTTTATGTTGATTTTGTCTCATTTAATGAACAAAAGGTGCTTAATTAGATTAAATATTTAATTTTCAGCAACAAAGACATGATCTAAAGGAAAATGAAGCGGAACTAGCTATTGGAAGCTTGGATCTTGGATTTTGAAGAAAGAAGGATGTTGCTGGACAGCTTGACCCCTCGTCAGTGTTTTGGCCATATATCATGAACCGTAACTCCGATTGATGAGATTCAAAATGTTCTGACACAATTTGGGACGACTTTCGTGTTTTGAGAAAATGTTGATTCGAAACGTACTCGGCGAGTAGGGCCGATTACTCGGCGAGTTGTATCGAACTTTCGCGATTCTGGACGCGCTGACTTGCCGTACACGGGTTTTAAGTGACGTACTCGCCGAGTAGCCTCTGTTTTGTGAAAATCTATATAAAGGGACTTTTAGATCGATATCAGAGGAGACAGATGAACCCTTGGAGGCCAATTGTCGACTAAAGGTGTTGTTGGAGCGTGGGAAGCAAGGGAATCAACCCTACATTCAATTTTAAGGAGAATCAAGTCAAAATCAAGTTTACTCTTACCTAATCTCTTGTTTGAACTATGTTTTTACCAATTGATTTCGTTTTTGTGCTTGTTTCTGCTGTAATCATGAGCTAAAAACTCATAACTTCTGTTTAGGTAGATGAATTTGTGAACATGGATTGATTATTTGATTAGGATTAATTTTAATTGGTGATTATGTTTTATTAAGCTTGTTAAAGAACCTTATGTGTTAACAATAACTATTCTTCTGTTAATAAATTAGTAATTAAGTTGTATGAACATCTCTTAGTTATTAATTTCATATGATTTATTGTGACCACATAGTTGTATGTCTAGGAATAACGAATGTGAAACTAGAATTAACTAGAAGATAGGTAAGTTAATGTGTGAGATTGTTTGATGAACATCAGCAAGAGGTTAATTGAAGGGCCAATTTAATTAACCATTACAAGTCTTATTTAACCCGAATCAATAACTAGGAAATTCGTTAATTTAGACAACTGGCCACTGCTTGAGTTAATTTGTTTCCTAAGGATTAGTAATAGCGAACGTGAAACTAATCATCTTAGTCAGTAGCCAATGAAGAATTAATCCGATACATTGAAATCATCCATGGGAACAAATGAATCGAACCTAAACAGAAGTCCTCTTTATTATTGAATTTAGTTGATTTTTATTTGCTTAGCTCTTAGTTTCTTAGTTTAAGTTTCTAGTCTTGCAAAACTAGAGAAAACCCCCTTTCTATTATTTGTTTTATTTAGATAATATTAGCATTTATTTTGATTATTTACCGTTCCCTGTGTTCGATACCCTACTTGCTTGAACTATATTACTAATCGATAGGTACACTGCCTTTCGTGTGTTTATTTTGTGTCTAAGTTAGTAGGATTAAAACTAGTTGGTTTTACACACATCACGCGTCCACATGTGCAACATACTCGCTAAGGTTCTGGACCCTCATGTCAAGACGATCAATGCCCTGAGCTAAGTAGCGCATATCGATCTCCGGCTCAGGTCCCTGCTGCGCTCCCCGAGGAGCAGGTCTACGCCGCGGGACCCGTCTCGGCTGTGGCTCGGCGGCACCCTCCTCATCCGCCACATCATCTGCTCGAACCCTCAAAACACCATCTCCACCCCTCTCTAATACACGCATCGACTCCAATAGCTGAAGACTCATCGGCCTCATATCGTGAAACACCATCGATCTCGTGATCTCACGCGTCAGCAACTGATATGACCGAGCTAACCGCGTGATAAACTGCCCTCTGCATATCGGGCTATCTCCCCGAAGTCCCCTGGCCCTCCGTCCCAAGTATGCAGCTAAAGCAACTGGAAGGTTCAGGTGCCTCCCTGGAGTAACTAATGCCCATAGGAAATACAGGTCCGTCAAAGGCACTCTCTCACTATTCTTGTGATGCGTGAGAGACATAGAAATCAACCGGTGCAACATTCGGTATGTAGTCGACCGAATCATCCCCCCTCAAGCGGTAGATGGTGTATAAACTCCTCCCGTAATCTCGGCCCAAAAGGTGTTCTCATTATAGTCCTCCGGCCGGTCCGTGAGACAGTCAGCAAGGAATGTCGGGAAGTGGACACTCCTCGTCTCGTCGGCTGTGTAAATACCCACCCGAGTCGCAAGCTCTATCACGCTACATTCCCGGCTCACTCCTCCCAGTCTGAAAGCAAAGGCTGTCCTGTCATTGAGTGGCTTCCTAGGATCATAGGAAACTGTAGCATAGAACTCCAGCAAAAACTCCCGATATACCGGCTCCTGGATCCTGAACAAACGCGCCCATCCCTGACACACAAACAATTCCACACCACTCGCGTCCGAGTGTGTGTATTGCAAAAATTCCTGGATCAATGCAGCAAGTCCAGTCCTGTTAGCCAACTCCCAGTCGAAAGAGGGTGCAATATCAATCTCCTTTGTGAGAAGCAGGCTCAAGTTGGTGCTATAACGCACCCTGGTAGCATCGCTCAGTGTTTGCGGAAATTGTAAAAAATGATGATCGGTCACATCCTCGGGAGGGTTGGTTCTTTGTGCCCTTCGAGCCATAATCTGCACATATTAACACAAAAACATAAAACCAACAAAATATGGCAGCATTAATAGATTTTTAAACCAAAAAAAAAATGGGGGTGGATATGGCATTACGCTGGGCGTACATCCAGCGTACGCTGGACGTACGTCCAGGCTTGTGATTATGTGTCCTGGTCCCAGTCCCTTTCTTGTACTAAATTCATAATCCGTGTCCAAATAAACACAGCAGGGGCATCAACACAATTAATTTTTAAACATCGCGTGGTCCAAAGGTATTAGGAGAAAAATCGGGACCTCCCTAAAAATATTAATCAATCTCTGTAAATTCTTTGTCTATTAGAAAAATCGGGACCTCCCTAAAAATATTAATTTTATGAAGTCAGTCAAGAACTCGAAATCACAGGGGGTACGGTCAAACACATGGGGAACCAACCTTGAGGTTCAAGGCAGTAGAAAACAAACAAAAAAAATCGAAGCCACCCTTTACACTTATGACCAAAAAAGATAACTCAATCCCCTATTAGTTCCTGATTTATTCAAGATTGGCAAACAATTAACATAAAAACTTCACAGGGCATTCAATCGATTTTTTTTTTCTTTTCGGGCGTACGTTTGGCGTGCGACCCCAAGCTTAAATCGATGAACGTGGGACAGAATTAAGACGAAATTAGGTTCGAGGGTTTAATGTATTAACCGAAATCGGTCCATTCAAGCCCTAATCAACACATACATTTGCGAAATCGGCCCTAATTCGAAAAATATATAAACCCTAGATTTCAAGCAAAAGCTAAATGCAGCTTATTCCTTTGAATTAAACACAAATCCATAACATAGAGTGACCGAAAAAGCTTACTTGAGTGTCGAATTCAACAAGAACGAAGCACAATCGACAGTTCTTTGAGAGAATCGTCGTCACAGCTTATGCGAGAAAGAAATTGGTTTTGAAAATAACAGCGAAGTCAAAGGGTCAAGATGTATACCTGGTCGCCGATATACGCGGGGCGTAACACAAGGGTACGCGGGGCGTAACCCCAACACCCTGAGATGTTCATCCGCGATTCGGGTCTTATTACGCATGGCGTAAGTAAACATACGCGGGGCGTAATGAAATTTTCCTTTCTTCTTTTAATTGAATTTCCTTTTCTTTTTAATCATTTCATCTAGGGACTTAAAACTTATTTAATTTTTCCTTTTTAATTTCTTAAGCTAATGATGACTTCACGATGAGTGATAAAAAAAATTGAGATGTCATAATCACTTATCTTTGTCAAGATCAAACAACAATGGTTGATCAAAAACCTTTGCATGCAAGAATTGGTTTGCGAAAACACCCACTTTCGGGACCCGTTAGAATATTTCCTTTGTTTTCCTTGCACCTTTAACTAAAAGCGGAACAAGAAGTGACCTAACTAGTCAAGAACAGCAAGAGCTCGGTCTTCCACTTAACCACCACAATACGCCTTGCTATACTACGCCTCATGGATTGAGTTGGACAAATAAACAAAGTAGTAGGCTAAGCAGGTCAAGAATTCCCTAGTCGCTTTCATTCCCGAAACCCATGCAAAAAGTAAAGTCAAGCAATGTGTACAATCCCAAATTCCTGCAACATAAAAACAAGAACCTTCCCGACAAGTGAAATGATATCATCGAAAATCAAACTAAAAAAATGAAAACTAACTAAAAACAAATAACGAATAATCAAATAAAATAAATTAATGACAAGCCGTTCCCCGGCAACGGCGCCAAAAACTTGATATGCACAAAAGTACCCATTAATTTTAATATTTATTACCTAACAAACTTAGACTAACTATGCACTTATAGGCAGTGTACCTAGTCAGATTACAGTATAGCTTAGGTAAGTCGGGTGTCGATCATAGGGAACGATGGATCAATTTAATATATCTGATTATAGGTCACACGAAAAGAATAAAAGACATAATTTAATAAACCTCAAACTAATAATTAATTACCATTCTCGATAAACTAACAGGAAAACAAATCTCTTCAGGTACTTTGGTTTAGACACATTCCACCTTAAAAACATAGACAATTGCATACACAAATTCATTTATTCATGTTCACCGATTCCTAAATGATTAGATTCGCGTTCACTATAACTAATCCTTTAGCAAACAAGTTAATTCAAACAGTGATCAATTGATTAAACTAACATGCTTCCTAGTGTTCAGTTCGTATCAAGCAAGACTTGTAAATTTAGTTAATTTAAACATTTAATTAACCTCTTGTTGATGGTCATCAAACAAGGCTCACACATTAACTTATTTATTCCCATGTTAATCCTAGTTTCACATTCGTTATTTCTAGTCTTATAATCTCAATGGTCATCAAAAATCATAAGAGACAAGCAAATCAAGCAGGTTTTCATACAACTTAATTCACTTAACAATTAACAGCAAATAATCATCATTAACACATGAGGATCTTTGAACAAGCTTGGCAAGATAAATTAAACACAAATAAATTATTTAACATAACAATTAGTCTAAGAATCAAAACTTCATTCAATCATAAACACAAAGTAAAAGGTTTTTACACCCAAATCAGAAACTAAATACAAAAAGTACCATAAGGAAGTGCTAAACATGGTCACGTTAGCAATCCATATGATTACCGACATGTATCCGCTCTCCAATCCTTCAGATCTCTGCTCCCGTTAGCTTAACGGCCTTCCGGCCGCCTTCTAGACCCTCAAAACGGCTTAACAGAAGTTAATTGTCGACTAAATTAGGTTAGAAGTCGAATCCCCCTCTGGTTAGCTAAAAATCGACATTTATAATCTTTGTGGCCGACCTAAGTACGCTGGGCGTACTTAGGATTACGCAGCGCGTACTCTGGATAATCACGCGATCAAGTATATCCGATGCAAGCAGGTACGCGGGGTGTACTCGCTACCTCAGGGCATACTTAGGTACGCGGCGTACTCTGCTACCTCAGCACTACTTTTCTTTCTTTTAGCTTCTAAGCCCGGTTTCCGCTTCAGTCTCTTCTTTTGTGCTTTATCACCAACAAATAGCTGCAAAACATAATTCAAAGTATTATGAGTACTCTTTAGTTCTAAAATAGAATAAATAAGGCCAAAATATTAAGATAAAGTGCATAAAAATATATATAAAAATACACATATCATATAGCTTATGTTTAAGCTCATTATCATTATTATGAACTTATAAACAATATATGTAAGTATTATAAAATACACAAAGTATTATAATACCTTTTAATTGCTCGCGGTATGGGGAATCTGGTTTGAAGGGCCACATATGGCTGTTGGATTTCAGAATGGTTTAAATGAGAAAATGGTCCTACCCTCCGGTGTTTCATGTTTGGCCCTTGTCTGTACATAGTAGTTGAAAAGTATTGGTTAACACTTATAAAACAATATCGCTTGTAGACCTTGAGTTAGTTAGTCGCAATAAATAGTAGACTAAAACTTAACAATAATAATGCTAGGTTTCGTCGAAGGAAAAGATGATTGTTAAAAGCGTAGCGCTATCCGAATTTTGAGTCATCACTTTAACTAGTGAGTGCATAGTTACTTTCATCTTACACATAGATATGAAGTATTTAATATAATATACGTGCTATGTGTGCATATTTTCTATGTTCTTGGTATCCATGTTGGATGAACAAAATATACATGTTTTACTTGATTGAAATTGTATATGTATTTTTATACTTATAAATATGTATTGGGTAGCAACGGGTGATGAGAGATAGGTGATGATAACCAGGTGATGATATATATGTGATGATGAATATGTGATACAAGATAAGAGATGATTAGGTGATGCAATAACCTTAACATGCGATGTTGCGATGTAGTCATCTACCAGTGTATAGATAGCAACTAATGACTAATCTAAACAAGTCATGTGGAAACACCAACAGCCTCATAACCTGTAGGTGATGAATTACGATTTCAGGCGATGTTGTAACTATGTATTCATGAAATTATACTCTAACCCTTACTAGACACGTATTAGGGAGTAATCCCCGAATCAGTACTATCTATGTGATGTAGATGATGATCCTTAGGAAAATTCCTTAGGAACAAACATATAAGGAAATGCAATGTAAGGAGATGAGAGGTAAATACGATGTAGGAGATGACCCTTAGGATAAATCTTTTGGGAATATTAAATGAAGAAAATGTGTATGGGTAATTGGGTTAATTGTTTGACATGAAATATGTGGAGAAATAAATTAACTATATTATTGTGGGTTGAAAACTCTATGTACTCATGTAACACCCTGTTCCGAATTGACTCCTATTCAGAGGCTGTGGCTTGAAGGTCGGTCATTACAAGGATTATGGATTTTGAGGAGGTAAGATCTTGTCCCATTTGGGTGCGGGTGATGTATTAGAAGTGATACGAGTGGTCGGTTCGTGTTTTGGAGCCTAGGGGTATTTCGGTAAAGTGGAAGTTCGGGCTCTTATGGAAAATTAATTTTTGTTCGAAAGGTTTTAAGAAAGGGCTTCTTGTTACCTTTCCATAGATATAAGAATCACCAGGATAGGGCCTAGAACGAAGAAGTTATGGTCTTCGGAAGTTTCATTGTTTTCAGGCTTAGCCGAGTACACGAGACGTACACAAAAAGTATGTGGGGGCGTACTAGAGAAGAAGGGAGTACACGGGGTGTACCTTGGCTTACGTTGGGTGTACTGAACAGGATGGTCGCAAAGGTTCCCAGGAGTACGCTGGGCGTACTCTAGTCAGATCAGAACCCTATTTTAGGGTCTTGGACCCTATTTAAGCTTCTAATCTCATAACCTAACCTTAATATCTTCAACCTCTACCATCTAAAACCCTAAAAATCATCATATATCATTCATGGTGACATTTTAAGCTTATGGAGTCCAATTTTGGGATGTTTGGCCCATTATCAAGAAGATGGAGCTTGTTGATGTTGTGTTTTGAGCATTCTAACACTTCCTAAGTGTACATGCAACCCTAATAACCTTGGATCTATGTTTGTCTAATTATCATGCAAAGTTGAATTCCATGGCTATATTCCTATCTAGCATACATGGGGAACAATTTTAACTTGAATGATAGATAGAATAACTTACCTTGTTGTTGCTTATGTTCCTTGAAACCTTATGAGCCTAGCACCCCAAGTGTGATGCCTCAAATGCTTCACACAACACCAAATGCTATTGGAAAGACTTTTGAGAAAATTCACACTACTTGATATCGGCCCAGCCCTCTTGTTTCACACGTGTAGCCGATTTTGGTGGAGAATATGATTCTTATATAGTGTTGACACATCTAGGGTTACACCATGTAAACCCTAATGTGTCATGAATCTTCATTTCCATGACCCATGGGTTTGTAACTCCCATTGAGCATCCATGGAGCATCCTATGGGTGGAACCCAACTTGATAATCCATGGAGCCTCTTAGCCCACTATACAAGATATTGATGATTTACATAATCAACCCATATATTTAATTAGTTCTCTTTTTGATCACTTAATTAATTCAAAATTAATTCTTGATCAAACTAATCAAATAATATTATTAATATATTAGAACTTATAACATATTAATAATCTCCAAGTGTTATTTCTCTCATTTAGTCTATCCAATTGCATGGTGCCATGCAACCCAAATGGACCATGCCGGGTCGGGTCAATTACATACCAGAAATAGTTATGGACTTAGACACCTTATCCAACAGTTGCAACGATGGGAATCAAGGAGGAGCTTATGGATCTGTCTTTTGGGACTCATTCTCAGCTTGATGAAAGTATAAATCTTTTAACTTGATCATTCATCTCTTAGATCTACCATTTGTGAGTTTTTGTTCATTTTAGTCCCAAGTATGAGATCTAGTGATCTTGATTTCATTCCAGGAGCTTTGAGTTGCCCCTTTTAGTGTTTCTGAGGTTCAAGGTCCATAAATTTGGTACCTTTAGATTTTAAAACCATCTATGTTAGATTTTGCGCCATTTCCATGAAAGTATAATGCTATTTAGTCTTATTGGGGGCTTACAAAGTCACTAGGTCAGTGACTTTATGAGTTT